CTCTTCACTCCTAGATCTAAGCTAAGCACAAGTTACAGGCAGCAGATTATAGTTAACTGATAGCTTCTAGAAAGGAAACAATACCCTTGGGATTAAGCAACTAAAAATACACTATTTAAAAGTGAGTAGCCAAGAGGTTTTCTAACATTTTAACTCATACTAGTAGGCAAATCCCATTAGCCTAAGAGAGAGTGTAGAGTTTTGAAAACTCTCAACTTCGTCTTCATTTTTGAACTTTCTGATGACAGCAGAATGACGTATGATTGATGTACTGCCATTCAAATTAAATTTAAAACACATCAGTTAAGGCATGCTTGGTAACTCCGGTCAATATTTGTTGCCATGTAAGAAGTGTCTTTAATTTATATTAATTAAGATGAAGCCAGTAACTCCCTCTGGATGGCTACAGGAGCATATTGGGAGCAGTCATTTTTCAATGCCCATCTGTAAATTCAATTTTGTATTCAGTGGAAAGATCACTGAGAAAGCAGAAAACAATATAAACTAATTTAAACAGGATTTTAGATTGCAGCATTATTAAAGCTATTCATGCGGAAAGAAATTAACGCCGCTCATAAAAATCACATCAAAGATGCACTTATAAAAATTCTAAGCACTTTCCATGAACATGTTTAGGCATAACTCTGAACATGGGTGTGCAGTTTAGAAATTAAAATCTGCAGATGTGCTTTTTCCACAGTAAGAATTGGGGAAATTGCCATATTATGGCATGAATATGGACCATTTGCTCAGTAAAACTTGCCCAGCGTCTTCTAAGCAGGGTCCTCACCATGTCACACTTGGGTGGCTAGAAATGTTTGCTCACGGGTCTTCCTTCCTGCTTGGCAGGAATGGGACCCCATTTCTTTGTCACAGCCCTGGCTAAGCACCATGGCCCTGGCCCCGCTTTTGCACTTGCTGTGCTCTTCCTCAGAGAGACCCTTAAACACTCTGCCCCTCTGGCCAGGGTCATTCTTCCCTTCAGCAGCCCTTTCACACAGAAAACTTCAGCAACCTGGCTTGTACCCTTTGCTATGTTCCCACCCTTCTCCATGTGTCCCACTGATACAGTCACCCTGCACAGTACTGTTGGCTCATACCTCTGTCTCCTGTTCTGAGGGTCTAATGTGAGAATAAAACCTGCCAAACATATTTCAATGTTTTTGGTTGCTTTGGCTTTTTTTTATTTATAATTTATATTTTATTGTGCTCTATTTCTCATGGACTTATAGTGATTACTACTAGAAAGCTACAAATTCAACAAATAAGAGTCAGAAAGCTTCACAGTTGATAATAAAAAAATTTAATCTCATGTTAAGGAGTATTTTCCCACATTTCATTGTCTACCACAGATAAATGTTCTCAGGACCTTCAAGCTGACTGCTCCTTTTATCCTTCAAGTCTCTGAGGTCATTATCACTGGCTATGAAAGTTAAAAGTGATGTCAGATAATGGCATAGAAGCAAAGCCTTTGGCAGTAAGACACTTACCAGATTATCAATTGATTCAAAAAATTTTGAAAACATTTTTAATCCTGGAATGGAGGAAAGCACTGCTTAGCCTTTTGAGGAGCAAGTAATATGAGAATGATTATCTATCATCCCCCAGTGTTCCCACCTGTATCCATACCCATCTCATTTCAGACTTTGTGGTTCTCCTTCCTTCTCCCTGTCTTCCATGTTTAAGAGTAATTGCCATACAGTAGGCATTTAAAAATTGTATGTAGGATAATTTCTGCTAAAAGACCACACGCATCAGCATCCTTTGGGAGCGTGTTTAAAATGCAGGTTCAGCCTTTCTCAGACCTCCCAACTGTGAATCTGCATTTTACCCCAAGTGACTGACAGGTACAATGAAGTTTGAGAAGCACTGGAAGAAATAACTCAATGAAGGCCAGATAAACTAGTTAGGCACTAATCTAAGTTAAGACATAACGAAAACCTGAAATTCAAAGCAGCAGCTAAGATAGTAGGGAATACTGAAGAATCTGATATGATTTTGAGAAACTTTGGGGATCCTTGTCCCTAAGTCCCCATTCTCAATTAAAGAGAAGCTGATACTTCCATCCAAGAAAGAAATAAGTATCCAAGACTTGGAAATGCACATAGCCATCCCTGCAAATCCTTTCAATGGAATACCTGGCATAGACTAGGACCCCCCCACAACACACACACATATTATCTGGTTGTTGGGGTGTGAACCTTCACTTGTCTTTGACTAGGCTATTTTACAACTCTGTGGGAATAGAATATAAATTGTGGAAAACACTTCCTCTCTGTAACAGTACAAATGTAGAAACATTTTAATCTTTATAATGAACACATTTTCCTTTAAACTCA